ATTACATATTATATTATGAAAGCTTAATATAATTTATTGTCGATTACATTATAATTTCTTTGTACACCTGAAAACGGAAAGATAAAATCCAATAAAAGGAGTCATACAGTAACGGTGCTCTTTATGAAATCATTCAAACCTGTAATTTCTTATCCCTTCACTTGCCACAAACATCTTTAAATAAAACAAACTTGTTCACAGGTATCATTCTTTGTTCCTTATATAAATAATTGTTGATCTGAATACGCTCTGAACTCTAAAAAAAAGAAATAATTACATTTTTTATATTGGTAAATAATTTTCTTACCTAATGCGGTGAATAAATATTTGTATAAGAAGTGTTTTATGTTTTTCTATATAATGCTTAGTGAATAATGTGTGGGAGAGTTTCCATACATTTTCTTTTGTTGCAAACTAAATTCCCTTGATTCATTTGTTTTTTCTACCTTTATTTATTATCCTTTTATTTATTTTATACACTACCTATCACAGACATTACTGAAATTAGTGGACAATGAAATTTTAACGTTCACGTCATGAGTTTTTCCCGAAAATCATATGACGTGTGAATTCATGCAATCCACAACTTAAAGTATTTACAAGCCATTATCACGCTTTAAAAATATCTCCTGTACATATTGATGGTATTAATTATTACTAGATATTTTTATTTAATTTTATATTGGAATCATTGGAAGTTATAATCTGTTGTGATATTAACCAATCATAAATCAACAACATAATCAACATTTTCTAACATTTTTTTTATATTATGTACTACAATATAAATAGTAACTATATAGTCTTCAGTTCAATGGTTGAAAATTCGATTCACAATAAATATTACTATATATATCTTCTTTTATCGAAGACAGACAAGTGTCTGTCGTTTTATATACAATTTTTCATAGTTAAAATAAGAGTAAAAATGACAGAAACAAGTTAAAAGTAGATTTACTTTGTATAATACCGATTTATCTTATTCCAAGACCTGTTTTATAGTTTGTAGTTGTTTGTTATGCACAGCACACTTTAGTAAGTCGGCGTTACCAGTCAATGAAGTACGCTATTACTGTAGTACATTTTATGAAACTAAAAACACTAATTCATATGGGCGGTAGCAGACAAAAAGAAACAAATGGATAGAGTTTAGTTACTTTTTATTCTGCCTCTAGGTTGTTCTAAAAATATCTCCAGTTGATTGAAGCTAATATTATTCATTACAATATTTTTTTAAATTAAAGCGTTTGCAATTTGGATAAATTTTGTAATTATTGTTTACAGAAATGATGCTTAAAAAAGTATAGAAAAAGAATGATAGACTCCGTAAATTCATTTAAATTATTTACAAATTCAATGGCCAAAAAATATATAATTCAAATATGATTTTAAAACTTTTCAAATAAAACGCGTTCGTTTAAACGATTTTAAATTATATATGTAAATTATATTGTATTGAATGAGAGACCACAATGAATATAAAATGCTAAATTAGCAATGAATAGAAGAAGCCTGTTTAAAATTTAAACTATTCCATATTGCCTTAATTGTCTTTTTTAATATTTATAATTTATTGTTCGGAAGATAATTGGCTAGTCCTATAAATAATCAGGTTTATTTTATTTATGAACAACGCCATCTAAGGTAATTTGGTATCAAACGGTTCTCAGTCACGTTATAGAGTAATTTATCTATTAACAGAGATGACGCTCACTAATATTGTTTGTTAATGATATAATACGAGTATGTATGGATATAGACATGGTTTGATGTATTGCACATATGTTTATCATGAACAAGCAATTATTTTATAAATTTAGGGCCTCTTTTAAACCAACAAGCACAACTACTCAAGGTTACTTCGCTATTATATAATAGATTAAGATGAGTAAGCACAATGTTAAACATTTGATTGGATAAGACTTGGCATAATAAATTCGCTAGTCGTCATTTTAGTTTTATGTGTAATAAATAATAAATCTAAAATAACTGCTTCTTGACGTGTAAAGAACTTAAAAATCTGATTTAATAATCATTACGACATTTTCCTCCATAAAAGAAATTATTGATCTCTAGAAGAAAATAACAGCGCTTTTCCAGCTCACTTTCTACATTCTCACACATACATACCCATACATAATATTTGATGCATACCACAAACAAACGATGTACGTACAAACTTAATTTGAACAAAGAAGTTTATTTCTTTCTTATTCTTATAATTTTGTAATTTTTTTCAGTAAACGAAATCCACTGCTTTAAGAAAGCGATTGATTGCTGATTTTCTTATAGTCTGATCTCCTGTATAAATTCTATAATACAAATAATCGTACACTTCTTTGTCAAAGTTGAGTTCGCAGAAAAACACTTTCGTTCAGACTTTTGTTGTCAGTAACTAAAGGAGAAAAATATCTTATGTTAGATCGAAACTGTTATTGTTGATATACATATTATAACTTTTATTGTCTAAGTACGTAACTATGACTTTGTACAAAATTTATACGAAATGGATTTTTATGATTGATCGTATGAATATAAGTACACTTAATTCATGTTCTTTAAGTTAGGTACTGTACCTTTATATCAAACGTTACAAATATTTATTTTGAACCGCCTCAATAAATAAAACTCTCATTTATATACCTTAAATAAAATGTGCCGGAATATTTTTTTTAATATCAGAATATCATCATACATTTAAAAATAAATAAGAAATCTAACAGTTTATGATATTTTTTCTAATAATGAACTAAACATTTCGTTGCTTCAATAATTATAATAGTTCTAAGAAAATTTTTATCTTCTTCCTACAGATAATCTACGGCTAGAAATGAGTTGGAAATAAAACTATATTTAATTAATAATAATCCATTAATATTTCATGAGATATGTGTCATTTTATTTATTATTACACACACATCTAACGTCTAAATGTCTTATAATTAATTAATAGATAAGAACATTTGATAACTATTATGTAACTTTTGATAAGTATGATAACGATGAAATAAACGATATTTGAAGAAGATTTCCTTAACAATAAAGTACAAGAAACAAACAAACAGAAGTTTACGAAATAAGAAAAAACAACCATATGTACAAAATCCTTTAAATAATTTTGTCCACAAGCCAAAATATTATTCCTTATATTTAAGCGCAAGTTCATTAAATATTCTGCACATTCTTACCGATTATGTTAGTTCAAAATATCCTTTGTATATCGCAATCGTCACAAAGGTTAACGTATGTGTTATAAATTACAGAAGTAAGCACTTGCACAAAAGTTCCTATTGACGTCATTGTTCAAGAAGTTTCAGGGTCTTATGAGAATTAAATGAGTACTATTATGACAAAAATATATATTATAATAGAACAATATTAAGAGAATATTTGGAAGTTATAAAATATATGTGAAATATATCTGATAGGGCTTGGTAAGCGTCGTAAATAAAAACCTAATATAAAGGGATTAAGGATAAAATAGTCGAAAATCCCTATATGACGTACTTATCTCTTTATTGTCTAACTGTGAATGTAGAAAATATTTAGTCTACATTATTTAGTAATATAAGTATTTAATAGTCAAGAAAATGTATAAATGTGTCGTTTCTTCATTAATATTTTATTGAAGAAAGTAGTAATTATTCGATACCTTGGAAGAACTTAACAGTTTATGATAATTTATATGAGAAATCAATAAAATTTCACCCAAGAAGTAAATGTCATAGATCAAGAACTCTATAATCGATGCTAAAACTCCACTTGTTTATCAAAATATCGAGTTTGTCAACTGGATATATATATTTTGATGATATAACAGTGAAATAAATTTCAAAGCTTATCATAATTAATCTAAAAAAATATTGAATTTTCATGTTAATAACAAAAATATAGAGACAACCTATCAACATTTTTATCCTTCTTAAAGTTGATAATTTTTTTATCAAGTGTCAATGTACCTCCAGTAATACTTATCAATTTGTGAATATACTATTTGCCATTCGTAAACAAAGCAAACACACAGATTTTCTCTACTTAGTAGCACGTCTCCAATATTCTAAAAGTCAAAACTCTACAAATTTAACACGGCAATGTAAGCTATATATTGAATAATTTAGGAACTATTTTAGTATACACACATATTTTCAATGTCATACGAGCATGATTGCCAAGCGTACTGCTGTGAGTATGCTAGTCATATAAGGTTCATTGTTGTGTGAATCTTTGCAGTATTGTAACGCATTTAGCCGGCGCATAGCGTTGGATACAAACGTAAAATAACCGTCAGAAAAACGCTTTAATTTTTATAAAACATCAAGCTATATATTTGTAACTGTTTCAGTGTTGTGAGTGTATAGAAGCTTTAAGTTTTTAAAGATCAAGGTCAGAATCGTCGCACGTGTTGTTTAGTTTCTAAATATTTATAAACAGCATGTACGCAATCGTAATATAAATCGTAATATGAGTTGTACAAAACAAGACTCATTACACTGCATGCAAGTCTCATTATGTACATAGTTTTATCTAAAAACATTTTTTCTTTTGTAATTTAAGTGATAGTTCAATTCCTATAAGTTTATCATTTAAATTTTTTCTAATGATATGCACATAAGTTAATGTTCTATTTGTTTGCGTATAAAGACAAATTTATAATGGAAGTGTATGAAATATATGAAAACTTAAAATAATCTACTATATAAAATAATGATGGAAAATAACTACCATTATCAACATTTTTTTTTTGGCGGTAGGTGTCAAAAAGTGCACACGATCAAAAATCACTCTCCAAAATTTTCTTTATTTTTTTTGTTTAAAATCTATTTTAACAGTTTTAAAAGTAATATTTTACATAAGTGACATATATAAGCTACTTTACAAAAGTTATTGTGGTTCTTATGTGTTTAATTGCATAATAATTACACTTACCTGTTGGTTCTACAAACTCTCCCAAGGAATTTTTTGACATATCACAAATAAAACATTATTTATACTTAAATACAATGGCAAGAGTGGAAGATATACTGGAAGTTCATAAAAACATAGCAGAATCGCTCGGTAATAGGATGGCAGAATTCGAAAAACAACTGAAATCCACAAGTAGCACTGAAGGTAATAGGAACAGTCTTGATAAACTTGCAAGTGAGTTTAAAGAGTTTAAGGCCTCAGTGTGGAACATCCTGGACCTCCTAAGGACACTTGTCACTAATTTATCTTCACAAATTGATGACATCGACAACTGCATGCTCTGCTGTTTGGTGGTATTCAGGAGGCTGAAGGTGAGAACTTGGTTTCAACGGTCCTTGGAACAATTCAAGTGTTGATGGGCATCCCTGATCTTCAGCCAGGTGTGATCCAGTACTGCCATCGTATAGGAAGTAAGTCTGAGTGGGCTCCTCGACCCATTGTCGTTCGATTTAATGACTTAAAGGTTAAAAGTCTCATTTGGAGTAATAAAAAGAAATTGAAATCGTCTCCAGTTGTGCTGAGTGAATTCTTGACTAAGGTTTGTCAATCTCTCTTTACAAAAGCAAGGAAAAGATTTGGCATAACTAACACCTGGACCCTTAATGGTAACATATATATCAAATTGCCAAATAACGAACGCAGGCGTGTCACAACTCAGGAAGATTTTGATGAATGCTTAAAGATGTTCCCCAGTCCCTCGCCCTCATCACACTCCGTTGTCAAGCCTGCCAGCTCTGCGCTGCCTCGAGTCAGCCCTTCAGGTCTTCCTGACGCCAGCAAAAAGCCACTTACGCGACGAAATTTGGTCAAGAAGCAATAGTATGTTGTTATCCTATGTATTCTATATCTTGTTTTGGTTTTACTTTTACTTATTTTAATTTATAATCATCTCATAGTACATATTGACGTCCCTCTATTCTTTAGATAATAGTTCGTTTTATTTGCGTTTAATTTGCATATGTGTGAAATTTATTTAAAATCAACTCAATGTTTATCTTAAGTTACAGTTCACTTACACTTAACTGTTTTTCTTAACGTCACAATGATGTTTATATTGTCCCACAATGGTCATTTCTTGTGTGTAATTGTGATTCTATGTTTTCTTTTCTTTTAATTATTAGTGTTCTCGTAGCAATTACAATATTATTATTCTTTATCCAAGTCGCATGTTAATCCCGGGTATATTTGTTTATCAATTCCATACTGTTGACACTTGACAAGATGACACCTGAGGCGAGTTTCGAAGTCTATTATAATTATTATATTGTCGTGCCAACTGTCTAATGCTAGTGACTTGGATGATTGTATTTTGGCACACTTTTTTTCAAGTCTAATGGATGGAGGAAGGTCGGCATATTTGAGACGCTGCAGGTAATGTGGAATAGCTCGTAACTTGTAACATGTATTCCAAATATGCCGCACTCACTCTATAGACATCGATAACAAATTTTATTAGAAGTGTTTCTTTCTACATTTTTTTAATATTTTATATTAGATACATGTCTCTTAATCTGTATTCGTTAGCTACAATTAAATGGATAAAATTACTTTTTTTATGTAAAGTCATGTCATTATGGCAAACGATTGTATGTTAACCTTTATGTGCATGGTGGATTTTTTTTTTCTCTTTTTAATATCTACTATGTGTTACCTTTATTACGAAATGTTTTTTTTTTCACATTTCAATTTTATCACTATTAATCATCTATTATTATTATTAATCCATTTTAACTTTTGTGTTTTTTTGGGACAAGCAAACTTTTTCTGTAATTCGCTTAGATACATAGTTTTTAGATCTTAACATGAATTGTATTTTTTCTCTTATGTATTTTAGTATTTCTTCTTAGTTACGTATTTTAAGTGAATTGTTGTGAGCCAACAGAATGTGTATGATTAGTCTAGTCAATTTACTTGATTTATTTCAGTTCTTTTTTTTTTTATTTCTTTGTTTTCATATAATTACATTTAAAAAAAATTTGTTAGATATAAATACCTATATTATTGTATAAGTATATATTTTATTTGTTATATTATATTCTTTTGTATATGCATTATGAATTCAAGTTTTGAATCATTTTATTCTGCAAGAGATGATGATGACGACATATCTTTTCTAAGTACTGATGATAATCTTCAATTACTAGGAGATTTACTGTCCAATGAACTCTCACATTTTTGTAAGAATTTAAATATTTGTCACATCAATGCGCAAAGTGTTCCAAGTCATTTTTCCGATCTTTATTCTACATTTAACCAGGCATCCATTCACGCTGTTCTTATTTCCGAGACCTGGTTAAAACCATCTCTTTATTCTACTTCTTTTTCTATTCCTAATTACATCTTAATCAGGAATGATCGAATCGGAAAAACTGGTGGGGGTGTTGCAATTTATTTAAAAAGTCACATCCCTTACAAACTTATTTGTCAATCAACTTCCCAGTACAACGCATCTTCTGAATACTTATTCATCGAGATAGATGTGGGCACCAAGATAGCCCTTGGAGTGGTCTACTGTCCCCCCAATATCAATTATTTTTCTTCTCTTGAGACCCTCTTCGAGAATCTGATGCCTAAGTACACTAATCTTATTGTAATGGGGGATATCAACACCTGTCTGATCAAGAGTAATTATCGGTCGTCTAGGCTCAGATTTATACTAGACTCCTTTAACCTTCAGGTTTTACCGCTCACTGCAACACACCACCCGATCGATGGTCCCGATAGTCTCTTAGACTTAATTATAACGTCTAAAGGTGACTTGGTCTCTAAATTTGGTCAGTTATCAGCGCCGGAATTCTCTCACCACGATCTAATATTCGCTTCCTTTAAATTCAGATCACCTAAGCCCAAACCCAAGATGCTGCTGCTGCGAAGCTACCGTTCTCTAGATCTCGATAGGTTATTGGACGATGCTACTCTTATTCCTTGGACGCAGATAGAGGTGTTGTCGTCAATTGACGAAAAGTTACATTTTCTGTGGTCTAAACTAATGGAATTATTCGACCGACACTCGCCTCTACGCCTTGTTAAAATAAAAAATTCTTCAAACCTTTGGTTTAACGACGATTTAAGAAAAGCGAGAGCCAAGAGGGATAAAGCCTTTCGTAAGTATAAGAGGGACCGTTCTGCTCTCAACTGGTCAGCATATAAAGCTGCAAGGAATCGCTGCAATCAGTTGTGTAGGAAGCTCAAACGCCGATATTTCTTTGACAAAATACGTGGATCTTCTCCCGAGGAAGCTTTAAAATTTTTAAATTCCCTCGGTATCGGCAAGTCTCAGCCTTACTCTGACCAATCTCAATTGGATTTAAACAATCTCAATCTTCACTTCTCTTCACCTCCAGTCCTCGACTTGCAAACTAAACTTTCAACGCTTTCTGAAATACATGGCTTGCCTAGAATCACTTCTCCATCCTTTCAATTTTCTCCTATTACTGAAAATGATGTTAAGAAAACCATTCTTTCGATCAAATCTAAGGCGGTTGGTTGCGATGGTATAAGTCGAGTTATGATTACCCTTATCCTCAACTTTCTAATTCCCCCCATAACTCATATCGTAAACTTCTCCTTTACCACGAGTACATTTCCTGAGATGTGGCGCAAGGCTTTTGTTCTCCCACTCCCTAAAATATCAAATCCTTCGCTACCCTCTCATTTTCGTCCTATAACAATTCTCCCCTTTTTATCCAAAATCCTGGAGTCCATTGCACACCAACAAATCTCTTGCTACCTTCATAAATGCGACTTATTCAATCCACTCCAATCGGGCTTTCGCCTAGGTCACAGCACAACAACAGCATTGTTAAAGGTCACGGACGATATTCGCATTGCCATGGAAAACCAGCAACTCACAGTGCTCGTGCTAATCGACTTTAGCAATGCTTTCAATGCAGTAGACCATGATCTCCTTCTTGCATTTCTTTCCCATGCTAACTTGTCAGACTCTACCGTTGAATGGTTTTCTTCTTATCTCCGAGGGCGTCGGCAATCCACACGCATCGGTCAGCTACAATCTGATTGGTGCGACGTGAGTGCCGGCGTTCCTCAAGGCGGCATATTATCTCCTCTGCTATTTTCTGTTTTTATAAACGCCATCACTAAAATTTTAACTTCGCACTACCATCTGTATGCCGATGACTTGCAGCTCTACGAACACTCTACTGTCAATGATCTTGCCGCGGCTATTAGCTCCCTGAATGATAATCTCCACCGCATTTCTCTTTGGTCCGCTAAATATGGTATCACTGTCAATCCCTCCAAGTGTCAAGCCATCATTATAGGCAGCGGGAGACAGTTAGCGAAGCTAGATGTTCCGACTCTGCCCAGCCTACGATATAATAATATACCAATAGAGTTCAGCAGTAGTGTTAAAGACCTCGGCATTATCATTGACAGTAAACTCAGTTGGGGGGAACATATTAAAGAAGTTTCTCGCAGGTTTTATGCCACTATGCATTCCATGATGCGTTTAAAAAATTTTTTGCCCATGGAAACTAAAATCCAGCTGGCTTCTACCCTCTTGGTTCCAATTATTGACTACGGTGACTCCTGTTACTTAGACCTGTCGGAAGATCACCTTCAAAAACTTAATCGTCTTCTAAACAACGGCATTCGCTTCATCTTTAGTTTACGCAAGTTCGACCACGTTTCTCGTTTTAGGAAGCAGTTACACTGGCTTCCTATACGGGAACGTAGGTATACTAGGATTCTATGTCTTCTCTACTCTATTCTTACCGACCCTAATGCTCCCACCTATTTATCCTCTAAATTTTCTCTTCTCTCCTCTACTCATAATAAGCCCCTACGATCCTCTCAATCCCTTACCCTTTTCATACCTCCCCATAAATCTGGCTTTGTTTCCAACTCCTTCTCTTTAGTCGCAGCCCGGTTTTGGAACACTTTGCCTGACTCTATTCGTAGAGCCCCTTCGCGCGATTCTTTCAAGCGTCAAGTGAAAGAATTTTATCTGTCGTCTGTCAACACTATGTGATGTCTTTTCTTCTGTACTATTGTCATTATTGGATTCATATATGTATGTATATATTTGTGTATATATATGTTAAATATTTATGTACTTGTATATGTATTTGTTTGTGCATATTTATGTATATTATGTATATGTACATGTATATGTATGTATTTTATATCATGTATATATTTTTAATGTTTCCTTAACTTCTGTGCACACCCTACATACTTCTATCCTATACTATTCTGGGTTGGCTGGTAGAAAATGCTGTAATAGCGTTAAGTCCGCCCTTTGTACACCTCTGTTTGTGCAATAAAGAATAATAAAAAAAAAAACATTATCATAATAGCTGGGTTAAAAGATTTTAAATCGACTCCTGGCAATTTTTATCATATTACTGACTTTATCATATATTTTTCTTGACTCCCCACCACCGAAGCTATGATTTTATCTAAACGATTATTTTACGATATTGCTGTGGCATTAAAGTAATCATATCATTGTACGTAAAGCATCTTAAAATACAAAAAAAAAATTGTATAATATAACGATTTGGTGAGATTACGAAAAATTTTTTTGTTACTAAGCTTTAGTTCTTTGAGATAAATAAAATAATTTACTATATTAAATTCTAGACTAGTTAATGTAACAGTCTCACGCGATGTTTGTATTTATAATATTATAGTTTTAATTAAATGTTTATCTTTATTTAATTCTAATAACAAAGATTATTGAAGGAACGAGAATTGATTTTTTTATATTTATTAGAGAAAAAATGACTGTAACTTCACAATCATATTTTTTTATGAATATTATACAACTTTTTAATATAATAACTCTATTCTTTGCTCTTTTTCCAGTTGTCGGTAGTTTTATTCAGTCATGAGGTCCAAGTTATTAAAAACGGCGAACAGATGTCGAACTCTTCTGAAGAGTTCTAAACACAGCTATGTCTTTACAAGAGAAAATAGTCTTTGGACACAGGAAGGCATTATAAAGTCGCCGTATAAAAACATCGAAATTCCAAATTGTACCCTTTACGACTATGTATGGATGAATTTAGACAAGTGGCCTGAAAGAACACTATCCGTTCGTATTTATATATTAACATATTATGTTATCTAAAATTAACAGATATTATTCTAAATTTATTTTTTATTAGGTATGTGCAGTTAGTGGCAGAGGTTACACTTACGAACAAGCATTTAAACTTTCTAATAATTTCGCAGCAAATCTTAGAAACAAAATCAAGGTAAGGGATGGGGATACAGTTATGATAATGTTGCCAAATATTCCGGACTTTCCTCTTGTAGCTTTGGGAATATTGGAGGCTGGAGGAATTATAAGTACTGTGAACCCCTTATACACAGCTCGTAAGTTTTTTTGTAAATAATTATATCAAAATATACATAAATTGCCGACAATTTCAAGTTGTAAAATTAATTACTTTTTATTACTTATGTTTTTATTTACCACATTACACGAATATTGAATGAATGTTGTTCAAAACCTTTTTAAACATTATTACAGACGAAATTCATCGCCAAATACTTATGTCTGATGCAAAAGTTATAGTGACTCTGGCAGAATCGGTGGATGTTGTAAAAAATGCTTTGAAACTCGCAAAAGTGAACATTCCTATTATTGTTGTTAAAAACAATGGTGATGCATTGCCAGAAGGAACGGTGGCATTCAACGAACTTAGCGAAGATGTTCACGTCGATAAATCTTGCTTAAAAGAAGTTAGACGTACACCCAAAGACATATGTTTTTTGCCATATTCTAGTGGCACCACAGGACTTCCGAAAGGAGTTGAACTTACGAACAGAAATATTATAGCAAACTGTGAACAGATTAATGAACCATCCATAAAATGTAGCGAAGAAACCACAGGTGATTCATTCTTAGAGTAGTTATTATAACTCTTCATCTTCTCAAAGTCCTTATATTGTATGTGTTAAAGGGAATACCTAGTTTTTCCACTATAATAATCCAATAATATTATCCAAGTTTAAAAACTTAATTTTTTGAGAATTTCCCAATAAAAACATTCGTTTTTATTTCATTTACAGCAACTCATCAAGATATAGTAATAGGTGTCCTACCTTTCTTTCACATATATGGAGCAACTGTCATAATGTTCAATGGTATCTCACAAGGACTGAAGATTGTTACTTTAGAAAAATTCCACCCTGACGTGTTTATACAAACATTGGAAAAACATAGAATAAACATTCTGTATCTAGCACCGCCTTTAGGTGAGTTTAAAAATTACACAAGATCATCACTAGAGAAAAGTCGATTATACAAATTTAATTTATTAGGAAATGTAAGCATAATAAGTTATCAATGACCATTATATGTACAATAGTTTAATCTGTTATCAAACACATACTTCTTTACAACGCTATCAGATACAGAGACTTTATTTTAATGTAATTTATTATAATGAATTATGACTAGAATTATGTAGCAGTGCATTTGTCTTCATATTTTTCACATAAAAGTCTTGAAACAAACTTAGAGCAAAATTCAATGGCATAATTTTGTAGTTATTGTGATTATACGTGTTATTTTAAAAATAATAACTTTTACGTTTTTCAGTACTTTTAATGATAAATCATTCTTTGTCATCGCCGGAGAGATTTCAATATTTGAAGCATATCATCAACGGTGCTGCTCCAGTTGCGGCCTCCGATATAGAAAGATTACTTGACAAAATCCAGGTAATAAAATAGTATAATTCATTGGTCAAAGAAGTCAGTGGTAGCCTAGTGGTTAAAAGGGCCCGCCTCTCATGCATGAGGGCGCGGGTTCGATCCTTTCAAGTACCAATGTGATTTTTCTGAGTCATATGTACTTTCTAAGAGTATTTAAACATCACTGATTAATGCATTCCCCAAAGAGAGTTGATGTCAGGGAGGCGGCCGGTCCTAAAAATAATTTGCCAAAAACTATTCACAACGTGCATGGCAGACCCTGGCTAAAGCTGGGATTTTGTAGGTAAAAGAATAATAGTATAATTTATTTTACTATCATCAGATGTTAACTTTTTAAGGTTTTACTGTCCGTTTTTTACTATTTCGGTACATTACTGGTTTTTGATATCCATACTTCAGAAAAGTTTGACAGCCTTTTTAAATTAAGATTTTATATATTTTTCATATCTCATTCAAATTTTTCAAACTTCCATACTTTTCTGTTCTTCATAGTTGTACCGATTAGTCATTATTAATGCATACAAATGGGTACTAAGTATACTTTATGAGGCTGAATTTATCTACATAATATATACATAGATATTATTTTTTGCACAGAAGACGCTTAAGAATAATAATCTACTAAAATTGTAAAGTAGAATATTTTTTGGTATTTATTCTAATTTATGTAAAGTTAATGTGTAAATAATATATATTTTTCAGAGGAAAATTCGTCTTGGTTCTGGTTATGGCTTATCAGAAACTTCACCAGTTATTGCAATGGCGGATAGGGAGTCAGAAAGATACGATATTATTGGAAACTTAATCGCGAATACTGAAATGAAGATTGTTAATGATGATCTCAAAGCGTTAGGACCGAATCAGGTATAATATATTAAACCTTAAAAAATATTTACTAAAAAAGATTCATACATCCATACAATTCATAAATTCATACAATTCGATCTTAAATTAATACTATTATGACTGAAACTATACCTAGTGTGTAAATTCTGTATTAATTTAATAGAGATTAAATGTATTCCTTCTCTACAGCTAGGAGAATTACTAGTAAGAGGCCCTCAAGTGATGCGAGGCTACAGAAATAACCCCGAAAGCAACGCTAGTGCATTTACTGATGACGGTTGGTTCAGAACTGGCGACTTAGCCACTGTTGACGAATTAGGTCGTCTGAAAATAGCAGATAGGCTAAAAGAACTTATCAAGGTATTTATTACTTCTGTAAACATGATATATTTTATTGAATATCCTTTTTATGATTTTTTTGTCTCAGGTACATAAGAAATATAGTTTCATAAAATTAAGAAATATTCATGAATTTAAAAATCTATTTTTTAGATTTTGATGATTTCAAGAATATGTTATGCCAAAAAATCTTCTAGAATAATCTTATACAAAAATATATTCTTTTAGGTCAAAGGTTTCCAAGTACCTCCTGTTTCAAAATATTTTTAAAATATTCTTTGAATTCGATTATACCTACATCTTTTAAATTTTGACGATTCCAATAATATGATATACCAATATTTTAGAATAATCTTATACAAAAATATATTTTTCCAGGTCAAAGGTTTCCAAGTACCTCCTGCAGAATTAGAAGCCCTTCTCAGAGATCATCCGGCTGTATTCGACGCAGCTGTAATCGGTGTCCCTCATCCAACGAAAGGAGAATCACCAAAAGCCTTTGTTGCTCTACGACCCGGTGTTAATGTTGATACAAAGGAACTATGTCACTTTGTTTCTGACAAAGTAGCATCATATAAAAGGCTTGATGATGTAGTCATCCTTGATAGTATCCCACGAAGTGCTGCTGGGAAAATTTTAAGAAAGGATCTTAAGGCTAAATACTGCTAATTGGTGTACATTTTTTGAATATCCGTAAAAATAACTTTACTTAGGGTATTCGGGTCCAAGCAATCTAAAAGCAAATTATTTCACGATTTTAAATAAATATAAACAATACTCCCTGTACATTAATATTACAAGAAAAATAAGGAAAACTGATGTATTGAAGAAATATAGAAACACTTTATATTCATCACATAACACCATAGTGCATTGGTACTGAATTATAATCAACAACTCATTTACACGTAATGCGATTAAACGTAAGTATAAGAGCTAAAATGTACATATATATTTTGTAATAATCAAGCAAAATATGAACTTATATTTTTAATCACATGACTATTTAAAAAATAATTTCTCAAATATTATGAACAGTACACATCTAAGTAAATCTATATCTACGGTGTTAGTTTGGGCACATTGGTTTGATTTGTTTTCTTGCTCTGATGAAGAAGACGAAATTGAACCTAAAAACGTTAGTACTTAAATTTAAATTCATTTAATTGCATGTATGTACATAATACTTAGTTAAGTGCGCGATTGGTAAAACATCCAGACACTTATAACGTTTGTAGGTGTGGGTATTATTATTATTTTTAAAGTCAGTTTTTCGAAAAATAAGTCACGTCCATACTGTTGTTTAATTTGTATAATTTCGAAAATTTCAATAATAATATTTTGTGGGGATTTTACAACTGTATATTGTAAGGGAATATATAATGAGATTTTTATATTTATTAATAAAAAAAACAAAAGCAATTGCATTAAAAATTATTCAAGGTTTTACATATTTAGACTGATAATATAACGATTCTATTTTAAACATAATTTTGTGAAATGGTTTATATAATAGTTTTGGAAGCTATGTATTTATACATATATACTGCTACTATACGTGTGTATGTCATTAAAATTTTATATGTGTTTGCTCCACATGGTTTAAATTTACAAATCACCCCAGCAGATGTCGCTACAGTCGGCATTGATGTTATTTAAAATGATAAAGCTGTAACGTAATTTATTATGTGTATTGTTTTACTTCACTTTATTATTTTCTCTCTGAGCGCAACTCTTATTCATGGGGACGAAGTCGGGGCTAAAAATTATATAAATATATATATATTTTTTATCCTATAAGATACGATATTTATTTAAAAAAAAACATGAACGTGTTTACGGCATTTGCATTAAACATACGAACAAGGGAGTTAAAAATGTTAGTAATAGCAGACTAACAACAAATTTGATTTTTGATATCCAATACATACAGCCCGGATAGCTCAGTCGGTAGAGCATTGGACTTTTAATCCAAGGGTCCAGGGTTCAAGTCCCTGTTCGGGCGGCTATACTTTTTATTGGTGGTAGAGCCAAGATGTGCTCAGAAATGGGATTGCTTGACCGGTTAAGTACCACCCTCTCACATAAAATCGGCGTGAAGTAGTCTTTCTCAATCAGTGGCGTCAATATATAAAGAAATTAAAAATAATAAAATTTTGTATCTTATAGTCAAGAATCCAAGAAAGTAATTAAAAAATTCTTCAAATAACTATTCTAATAACTTCTATCATAAAAAAATGAACAAAGTTCATTATCATATGATAAGAGAACAGAGAAACGACATCGCTGTGTATATATGCGCTACTTATGCTATGGTGAGCTCAATAAATTAATCCAAAAGGAAGGTTCAAAATAATTACACTCCTTAACATTTGATATAAGTAATATTAACGTCAATAAACAAATGAAATCTATTAGAATATAGTTAGAGAAATTCATAATGTACTACTTTTTTATATTCATAGCCATATGTGGTAATATCTAACCAGTCCTTATTTACACTTCGACATACTTGTAATATGAAACTTTAGTAGGTAAATACCCCAAGTGTTTGTGGTCAGATAAAAGCGCCAGTAACTATAGTCAGGTTAATTATTAATATCAATATAACAATATCTCATTAATAGTTCCAATTAAAAAGACAATTTAGTTTTAATTAGTATATAGTGAGCAATATTTTTTGTAAGAATATTGGTATACATATCTTTTAGCATTTGCACAAACTGCATTCGTATTTAAAGAATAACTAACATTTTCTATATAAAAGCGGCTTAAATAATATAACATTTAGAATATAGAATACTGCATTGTTGGGATGATACATTTATCGAACGCATCAAAATAAATCTATGTCACCTATAGGCAAACATGGAGACGCCTTGGGTATTAATTCTGTTTCTAACCATGGGACTGACCATTAATGTGTCTTGTTTAACAGTAAACTTTAATCAATAAGTAATAAGTGTAGTTGAAACAATATAAAACAAAAAATCTCTAAGATAATACTTGTGCATCACATTATAGTAATTATTATCTTTCAACCAATGCTGGAAAAGTTTTAGATCGATCAATTTAGCGATTTGGTCTTGAGGTGTGAAGCGTATACGTATATTATAAAAATGAGAATGACTTGCAATAACGATAAAGTAAGTAGGTGACTATATATATCCTTATCACACTTTTAATCTATTTATGTGTTTGTTATTGTCCGTTTTGCAGCGGATTCAAACATATTCATGCACGTAAATAAACATGAAAACATTTTTTTTTATTTATTTCAAAGACGGTAATTTCGAGTAGAGAGCAAACAAGCAGACTGCAAACAAACAAAAGGGATACCGTATGAAGAGTAGTCACATCGCCAATGGACATCTGCATCGTAAGGGATGTTGTAGATGCGTTGCCGATCTTGATTTTAGAAGAGGGAGAGTAAATGATGGGAAAAGTAAAAGAGCAGCAGCGGGCGGGAAAAAAGGGAAGGTCAACCGGCTCTCTCACTAAACGAACGAAACGCAGGCATTATAAACTACTACACGTTTATTATTCATTCTACTGGACAGTGATTATGACTACCTTATGTATCTATTCACTGAATGGTAGGTAGAAATAAAGCCTCAGGTGATAACTATTTTAAGTGTGAAACTAGCATACTCTAGTATGACATCTCCATCTAACTTTATTACATCCCGTCTGGCCTCAGAGCTGAATTGATGGAACTCCATAACTATGCTGTCATCTGTTACCAAAAAATAGAGTTGTAGAGGGTACAGATTCCCAGGGAAACCCCTGCGTTGACTGTCACTGACTTGAAAAAGCAGCCATTAACAAATTATTTAAAAACACCGTCTCTCATAAAGTCAGATATCTAAACAATTAGTCTACGGAATTAAAATTAGGCTACTAAACTTTTTGAGATATCAAGTTTAAGTCTAGAGCTTCACATTATCTTCTGTGTGACGTATTCGAGCAGATTTCCAGTCACTAATTTAGTTCCAATGGTCCTTAGAAAGATACATCGAATGTTTATGCCTCACACTTAAAAGAATATGGTCAACTCCAGCCAAATTGAACAAATTTAGTCGTGAACGTAAATGGGGACGTGACTGAAGGTACTAAGATTTTCCATGGCCTGTCGGGTCACCTCAAATATACCATTCATTACAGGACAGGAAAGACTTAGTGACAAGAAAAATTCCCAACTTCTCCTCTACCGGCGTTACTTAGCTTATATGCACAAAGCCACTCTGGATATTATTTATTAAAGCCTATATAAAACCTTTCTTCTGAAGGGGTCTGACGTAGGGAAAATTCGCAGTCTCACGGCGATGTTAAAATGGCCTTCAAATCACAGCTTTGTAAAAGGTAGATACCGGAATAGACTATTTTGTTCACACCAGTATCCACCAGAATCCAGAGCGAAGAAAATTTTCGATCTTCAAGTTGATGGGGAAGTTGATACATAATATCATCGTAGATATTCATACATACTGCGAGCTGACGAAGTTATATTCAAGGGTGCAACTTATTTATATAATGTACGACACTTCTTTAATAGCACTGGCGTCTTTGACTAGATAAGAAATTGCGGCTTGTTAGTTTGTATTGATGGTAGACTGACAAGAGATTTTAATTTAGGCAAGCAATGCAAGTAAGGTGAACGTTGAGTTGTAAAAGGTGCAACTGTATTAAAAACTTGATTCTATTATTTCAAATATTTATTTTGGATGGAGACGGAGAAAACACGTAAAAAGAAAAATGGGATTTAAATATTTTTATCCATAAATACCAGTTGAACATTTTACGAAACTTTTTAACTTCAGAAATAGACGATTGAATGAATAATGTCAAAGAAATTACTTTTATTTGTTATCACAATAGCAGAGAGACGAGTCAATAAATCTTGTTATTATATTATCATACAAAGAGACGCCCCGTAATAATTTCATCAATTATTCAAAGAAACGACCAGTTATAAGATTTTTGTCTTGTTTCTGTCACAGTCTCTTTATATTTAGTCACGTAGGAGTAGGAGTCAAGAACAAAATACACGACATGTTGCATTCTATTGTGAGAAACGTTTTAGCAAGAAATAAGAATTGTTTTTATAAAAGGAAACACGTTTGGACGGCAAATAATGTAGTTAGATCACCCTTTGAAGATGTTTTGATTCCTGATGTAACTCTACCTGAACATATCTGGAGTAATTTACATAAATGGTCGGATAAGACAGCAATCGTGAGTAAAAACTTACAATGACAGAACACTTTTGTTTTTAAATTACATACAGTTTATATGTGAAAATCAGTTAATAAACAACATATAAAGTACTGGATTTATGTATTTCAATACAGTAATATTATATTGAAAATAATGTATTAGCACAAAAACTTGTTTTTATTCAAACCCCAAAGTATTACTTCAATTACAGGTTTGCGGAGTAACTGATAGGCAATATAAATACTTGGATATTTATCGAAAATCCCAGACGTTAGGGGCCAGCTTAAGGAAAAAATTTAATATTAAAGATGGTGACCTCATTACGATTATGATGCATAATATACCAGAATATCCCATCGTGACTTTAGGTATATTGAATGCTGGAGCAATAGTGACTACTTTAAATCCAGTTTATACTGCTTGTAAGTATATGCTTATATTTGAACAATAATTACTACTAAGAGGTTTCTTTTAAGAAAAAATAAAGTTTATTTTTATTATGTGACGGACAAACCACATCATATTTTTAATAGTAACTTAATAGTAGTATTTAATTTAATAAATGGATATCAAACTTTTTTTATGTAACGGAATATGCCTTGCCTTATGAACTTACTAAAAGTATTTTTATTTATTACCTAGTTTCTATCATATGTATCTTATTTTATGTACCTAGGTACACGTTACCCAAAAGTGTCTCACTGTCACTTCGTCTGACTGTGGTTATGGATACTGTAAATTAATGAAACGTCGATTAAAATGTAGATTAATGAAAATATATCAAGTAAATTCGCAAAATGTTTATTAACATCTGTACTCTTCAAAGTCTTACATATCTTTATAATACAGAGAAATTAGAGCTATATCAATGCATGTACATGGTAATAACAAGGGAATTTTAATTTTAAAATATGTGTTAGTTAAATGCTACTATTCAATATTCTTAGACGGAAAATGTTTTATGGAAAAAAGATTAAATTTGTTTATTTATATAAGATTAGTTTCCTTTTAAAAATATTATAAGCCATGCGAAGTGGTAAATTAGAGGTCATCCGTAACGTTTTCCTATATAAATATTTTTAGTCTTTCATTATTCTATAAAAACAATTTCAATATTTCATTGTCGCTTGTATGGAATATTAAGTTTTATATTAAATCGTCAATTTTAGATGAAGTACAAAAACAACTGGCGACATGTAAAATTAAATTAATAGTGACTTCAGCAGAGAATGTATCAACTATAAAACAAGCATTACATTTAAATAAAACGAGTACTCCCATAATTGTTGTCGATGTCAATAGTCAACGTCCCGATGGAACTATATCGTTTAAAGAAATAATAAACGATACTATTGACACAAGTATTTTAAAAGAAGTCAAAACAAAACCTAGTGATGTATCATTACTACTGTATTCGAGTGGAACAACAGGACTACCGAAAGGTGTTGAATTAACACATAGAAATAAAATTGCTAATTGTGTTCAACAAGATTGCGAAGAAATCCGACATTATGACCTAACCACAGGTGTGTTGGGAAACTAAGTATTATTTATAAATAAACTATAAAGGTTTTTTTTGTTGTATCAACAATTATATAATAATAGGTAAACAAATAATAACAATAGATTACGTAATATAAAAATGATATTTTACGCGATATATAATCGTTTATAACATGTATATAATCGTTTATAACTCATTTATATGTTTTTTTCTAGAATCAAATCAAGACACCATTTTGTTATATCTTCCTATGTTCCACGCTTACGGAATGTCTGTAAAAATGTTACACAAACTTTCGGTTGGTTTAAAGTTGATCACTCTACCCAAATTTAAACCTGACACATTCATAACTGTTTTGGAAAAACATAAGATCAACCTAACGTATCTTGTTCCTCCTACAGGTAAGTTTTTATTTAAATATAAAATAAAGGGCAAACAAGTAAACTTATAGTGACATAAAACTACGTTACTGCTTTACATTAGCTTCCTTGATATGTAGATGAATAATTTGGTATGGAAAGTATTCCCAAAGAGAAAAAATAAAACAAATAGCTTCATTTTTGCATCTAAGTCCAGGCTTTAGTCTGTTGACTTAAATTTCGCTACAGTAAGTAAAGTTTAATAAAAAAGTTTTTCTAGTGAGTCTTCTACTTAAGATACAAGTTATAGTTTTAAAACAAATTACCAAAGAAACGTTAAAAACAAATAAATGCTGAAGAACCCTGTCTTCGAGAACAGTTCAGTGTGGTAAATTCTATAGAAATGTTTTGCTGCTCAAATATAATAGCCAAGTTGTTGAGTGCAAAGAGTTTTCCTACAAAAACTTTTTTTCTTTAAGGCAATGAATAATTTACAGGAAATTGATAAATTTAAGTCGTACCGAAAGATTATTTGTAAAGTATAGATTAGATTATGTTTAATAAAGTTTATTGAAATTATTCCAGTCTTATTTTTGGGATCAGATCCTGAAGTGAAAAGGAAACATTTTAAGTATCTAAAATATATAGGAACCGGTGGAGCTCCATCTCCACGGGCAGATATAGAGAAATTATTAGATAAAGTTGGTGTAAGTAATTTTACGGATTTCTACGTGGATTTTGTGTTTGAGTTGATAATTTCTTCACTTGTAAAAATATGAAGTAAATTCGATATCAATTTCGATACATTTTTTTTATAAATACAAATACAAATTTTTATTCACAAATGATCTTCGTATCTCACTCTTTATTTTGCTCCTTAATAATAAATAAAAAATAAATGGTTTAACGTTGCAATGATAAAAAGTAAAATTATGTCCATAAACTCAATATTATTTAAGGATCGGTTCTTATCTTTGTGTTAATGTCTTTAAAGAAAATATTTTTCATTAGCACGAAGTACGGTTCAGTCAAGTTTATGGCTTAACAGAAGTTTCTCCTTTGGCAACGATGTGTCCTGTTGATTTCAAAAAGTATAGTTCTGTTGGTTTTGCATTACCTAACGTCCAATTGAGGATTATTGATGAGAACGCAAAAAACCTAGGACCGAATGAGGTTTGTGAATGAAGTGTTGATTAACAGAAAAAAAAATCTTTCTAAAAATAAAAAAATGATATAATATAAATATGGAAAATAAACACTCACAAGCAGCTTCATCAAAAATGCTGATACTGATAGATAAAAACAAAAAACAAAAATTTAATAATCATTTACTATAATTGCAAATAAAAAATGTTTAATATACAAATACTATTTTTTAAATAAGAATGAATAGTTAATTACTAAGTACTTAATTTTTAATAGACTTCACTTAATTAATTCTTCTTCCCATAGAATATGTTGTTCCATCAAAGGCTGATCTCGTTGTCAATATTTAATGTAAAATTTTATTTAAATCAAATTATTCGAATTAACCAAGTTCCCTTTCAGTTAGGAGAGTTGCTCATCAAAGGACCGAACGTAATGAAAGGTTATAGGAATGATCCTGAAGCAAACAAACGAGTTTTTCTGGAAGATGGCTGGCTCCGAACTGGTGATCAAGCACAATTCGAAAAGGACGGATCTCTTATTATTGCGGATAGATATAAAGAACTAATAAAGGTAGTAAAATTAATATAACATTTTGGAATAACGTTATTTAAAAACGACCTTATAAATATGCTACTTTTTGCAGGTAAACGCTTATCAAGTAGCACCAGCAGAGTTAGAAAGCGTAATAAAGGATCATCCTGATGTCTTCGATGTAGCTGTAGTCGGTGTACCTGACAGTAAAACAGGAGAGAAACCTAAAGCTTTTGTTGTTCTTAATAAAAATAGTCCAGCAATTGAAGCGGATATCATAGAGTTTGCTAATAAGAAGGTCGCACCATATAAACATATTAAGGAAATCCAATTCATTGAGAGTATTCCAAAAAATCCATCTGGAAAAATTTTAAGGAGACTTCTCTTAGAGAAACATATTAAAGAGAATTAATAAAAGCATTGTTTCAAAGAACTGATTGACGAATGTATTCAAAGTAGCGCTATTACATAATATATACTTTTAACCAAAGATATGTTTTTCTCCTGCAAGCATCTCGAATATTATTTATATTGTTTTTATTTAAAATTGTACTGTAATTTAATATGTACTCAAAAATATTGTGAAAGTTTTGATTTAGTTTCACACTTTCCGAAGTCAAAAGCATTATATAGTAGAGATTTAATTATTATTATTTACAATTTGTCTTTATTTAAAAGTTATTTTTATAGAAACTGGTATTATGATCATATCTTTATAAAATTGTAAACATTTATAAATAGTTATATTAAGTTGAAACACCATTCGACCTAAGAGATGTTTGATAATTTCACTTATGTACAAATATATATACATATATAAATTAATAACTTGACTTTTATTTCAATATGTGCTACTGTATAACCATTATTGTGTGTTTTATGCCTACATTTTGTGGATTATTATTAATAAACTCTTCATAATGTTCCCATAGATTAGAAAGTTTTTAAATCTCCGAAAGGGACTTGAAAATTTATTCAATTTACAAATTGCGTAACAATTTGCATTTTTAGGTTTATGTATATATTATGCATAATCTGCTGGTATTGAAAATTTAACCTACCAAGCTAATATTTTAATGTTTGCCAAAGGATGTGTGTAGTGTAGTGTAGTAAGTAAGACGAAGAGGAGCGATTGGCTTCCTCACAGTTATATAAACAAATTCACTCATGAATAAACTCACAAGGACTAATTTATCAAAACCCCTTCTGGTTATGTTAAATGTGGGGATTCATCTTTTATATTTGGATTGCGCTGCAATTAAAATTAGGCTCTTGAACTGAATTATTCTAATTTTTAATCCTATCGAAGAGAATACCTTGTATATTCTTTTAAACACAAAATCGTTAAACTGAATTGTTCTGATAGTCCAACTAATCAAGGAATCAGGCGCTTGAAGAAAAATATAAACAGCCAAAGGGCCTTTATCATTGTTATCTTCAGATCTGGTAGAATTAAATAAATACCGATAAATATGTCTATGTGTTTTGGATCAAATTAAAAGAATATCTCTAGCTCTAAACCAACTTTTCTCTTTTCAATTTTTTTGAAATCCATTTTCTCGAGAACATTTTTATTAAAAAGTTGTTTGTGGAATTGTAGAATATTCACACTATTTACATCAACGGACTCAGGAGGATGTACCTCAAATGGATATACAATATACTATACTACTACTTGCCACCAGTGTTAGAAACTACACTAAAACTAAACTAATAAAACATATACGAAACAAAAAAAACATCACATTCTAAAAGCCAAAACTCATCAACATTAAAAATATGTTCTTTATCGAATTACCGTCTTAATGACAAGGAAATGATAATATGATATTTTTATTAATTATTATAATGACAACACGCAACTATGACTTAACGTTATCACAGTATCGTATATAAAGTCTCTCTTTGTAAAGACGTATCTGTTATTGGTCGTTTTAAAAATAAATAATACTGACGATGTTAAAATCATTTGTGAAAAATGTTGTTGTACGAAAACGGATTGGTTTTAGTAAAATGAAGCATGTCTGGTCAGTGAATAATGTAGTGTCATCACCCTTCGAAGATGTGATAATTCCCGATGTATCTCTTCCCGAACATGTCTGGAGTAATATGCATAAATGGTCAGAAAAGACTGCAATAGTAAGTATTTTCGAGGATAAAAAACTTATAAGATCTATTTAAAATAAAATATATGACGGCGCATCCGTCAAAAATCATACGTCAGGTTGACTTTTAGCTGTCTGAGGTTAGCCTAGTGAAGCGTCATTGTGATGGTAGCGAGGGCGGCCATCTTTATTATGGAGTATCGTGCGAGATGACGCCCGCGCACCGCGCTCGTGACGAATCGCTGTGTATCGAAGTGATAGTGATATCTAGTGTTTCGATTGAGTTGGTGTCGTATTGAATAGACTGTACTTTATCCCTTTCAAAGTATGAGTTCCCATGAAGGCCCTCCTGTTCTTATAACGCCCTCTTACATCAGAAGTGGGATCGAAAGGGCTTTAAAATGAGGAGAGTAGTGATCATCCATCTATGTTAAACTTTGTAAAAAATAATGAGAAACTTGTCGATGAAAATAATGTCAACTTCTCAACTAACTTCGACGACGTAGTTGATCCGGTTCAATCTGGATCGTACGGAAGCAGATATAAGGGTTAGGACGTCTCGTCGTGTCTTGATCGTAAAAGGTACCGGTAATTGAGGCTCGCCGGTGAAGGAGATATCTGTGTGACCATGGGCCGAGCCGAGGGGAGTTGACGACGTCATCTGGTGAGACTGTTCCTTTTCTTTTTAGTAGTGGGTGTACTTGTTCATGTAGTACTAATGTGTGTCTGTATCTGAAAATTTTTCAAATAAATTTCTGTGTACTTTGAGCAATGAAGTAGTTCCCCTGAAAGGCATCTGAACGCGTAGTATACGGTCGAAGCGAACGGGCGACGATATGAGTTTCACGCTTACCCACCACTTCGTAAGATTTTAATATTAGATCGTATTAGCGAATAAAGGTCATTCAACCTTGCGCTTCGGTACTGAATACTCTAGTCATACTTCGTGTACATTAACAGTCAATTATTATTAGTGTTTCTACGTCTATAGACTTATTGTAATACACAAATTTTAATCCCGGTCATAATTCAAAGTGTTTCAGTGTCTCTTTTGTTTCATATTATTAAAGAGAATATTATTCTTGAATCCGTGGTTGTTGGACGGTACCTTGTAGAGTGGGGGGTTAAAGGAGAGATAAACAGTGACTACATTATTTTCTCAAAACCTGAAACGACAAAAACAGATAAGTGCCCAACCTCAGACAGTCTTAACTTTTCTTGTATCAAAACTTATTTGGAAGGCGACGATAACAAAGCCCTTATCGATGTTTTTAAGAAGTATAACTCATTTTATTATTAAGGGCACCTCTTCACTCTTTAGACCCTAATTCTTTAGACCCTAACATAGTCTAAGAGAGACCTTACAAATTATAAGAGGTTGTTCGAAAAAAAAATGGATGCCCTCTTTGAAACAATCATTTTACACTTTATCAAGCCCCATTCTAATTGTAAAAAAAAAAAAAACCGAATGACAACTCTGACATAATGTATGTTGACTCTAGGGAGATTAACACCAATTCTTATAGTAAGCCTTTTGTTTTAGAAATTTTATACCGAACTATTTCCGCCTAGTACGATCCTTATGTCTACTCACTAAGTTAAAGGGGTTAATTAAACGGTCAGAAGTCCACGGTAATATTCGTAAATGGATAGTTCAAATACTTACCACGGAGTCTATTCTAACTATATTTGATCGCGAGCCTCCTATAAAATTACACACGAATGCCAGCGCCAACGGATACGGTACCATTTTAATTAAATGAAAGAACGGAGTTCCTCACGTTATTTCATATTTCAGTCGCCGGAAAACTGACACGGAATAAAAGTATCATTCTTATGAACTTGAGACCTCGGCAGTCGTTCGAGCGGAAGAATATTTGAAGCAAAAGCTATATGGTCATCATTTTATCGTTTTCACGGGTGGCAATCCTTTCAAAGCTTCTTAGTTAAAAAAAAAAAAAAAAATTAACACCGAGAGTACATAGATGACCCTGAGCAGGGCACTTCCAAGAGCGACAAAAGCAAGGCTCAAGTAGTTAATAAGTCTGTGCAGTTTGTAGAGGTAAATCAAGGGTGGTTAGCGGTAGAACAAAAAAAACGTGATGCATATGTTCAAGATATTGTTGCTCAGCTCTTAAATAATAAGTTTCCCGATTCAATTAGTCACATCTACGATGTTAGAAACAATATGCTATATCGAAAAAAAATTGAGCGAAACAAAGTTAGTCGTTGGTAACCTATCGTCCATCAGTCCCTTGTATGGACTTAAATCAACCATATCCATACTGAGATAGACACGTTTAGTTTCTTGATGGAGTGCAACGCAGGCAGGTATTTTTAGGTGTTCTGGGATTTGGTCCAGTCACCTTTTGGGATTTAGTCCTCTAGTTCGGTTACCGTCCACTTTTTCAATCACTAGCGGACGTTTAAAGCTGTCCGTAATTCTGTCAGGGAACTGACCAATCAACGCCAGTATGTGCTGCAAATAGATATTAGATAAGCGCTGACCATATTTTGAGGTATGCGTAACATACTTCGTCATCACCACATTCCTAAGGCATCAATTCTTTGCCTGTCAACGACTTTCATAGTCCACGTCTTTGCACTATACAGAATCGGATAGCTAGATAGATAGAAATATAGAGAAGGCAAGCGTTCGTATCAGATGCATTTTTGTTCCATTAATAATTTTCCTATCTCTCCAAATTTTATTCAGTGGGGTTATTGCTATTTTGGCCATGTAAATTCTCCTACGGATTTGCATACATTTTATTGGCATACTATTCACATAGATATGACTGGGACATTAAGTGGCAAAAGCCACAGAAAAGAAATACGCGTCAGTAATGATTGATTATGTTATCAAGTATGTCCTTTAAGAGCATACTATATCCCTCGATGCCAGTTGTACTATTAAAGCGTTGAGAAAAGCTGTTTCTCTTTTCGGTGTTCTCAAGCGAATTGTTATATCGGGGAAGGGGCTTTGTAAGCGCGGACTTTAGAGAATTGAGTAAAACACCTCGTATAGAACTTTACTTTATAACAACAGGGGCAAATAAAGCCAACGGTCAAGTAGAAAGGGTCATGCAGATTTTAAAATGTCTGCTAACTATTATAGAAAACGATACCCATAAAACGTGGCGTGACAAACTTCCTGAGGTACAAGGGACGAAACCGCTTAGCATTCAATGGATTCACCGTGCGGGTGCCGTGTCCATCGCGTTGCAGGGAGGGGAGCTTCAGCAGTGCCTGGGACTTGCGACCCAGGTGTGGGTTTAAGGGGCCCCTTAACTAACGCGCGTTGTACGCTCACCTCCACTGTCCAAGTTCCTCTCCCTACCTGGCCAAATTTGGAAGGAACCTGCTAGGGCTGCTTTCGACGTACGTTCCGAGAATGAATTAATGTTGGTTCTGGACGGGCCCAAGTCTTTTAGTAGGTTGTAGAGAGATTTGGCTGTTATGCCTCTCGCTCCCACCTCTACCGCGGACGAACCTATTTCGAGTTAGTTCGTTAGTGAGCTCGTAATACTTAATGACCTTGATGGCATGGTCTTTGGGGATGTTGGTTTCCCAAGGCACCGTAGGCTCTATCATCACAACGCGCTTTAAAATACGCGAATATAGAAATATGTCTGGTCTGGAGGCTGACGCACAAATATCCTCGGGGATTTTGTGTTGTTTCTCATACGTATCCATCATGATAGTCCAATCCGAAGCCGCTTTAAGGATAGAGTAAGGCTTGACGTTTGATTTTATAGCCCTGGTGCTCTCTCTCACAAAAACCTATTGATCGCTCGTTTGTGGTTATTTCCCTTTGCGCTCTGGCTACCGAAAGACTAACCGCTTCAAGTATGATCTCTAAAACCCTATAGTGACGACGCGAGAATTGACCGCTGTCCAGGAGAACCTTACATCTCACTAGCAAATGCTTAGCAGTTCCAACTGCCTTTCCGCAGATATAGCAAGTGTTTTCGGTACCTTTACCCCATCTTACTAAATTACTCTGATCTGGGAGAGTCATCTAGCACTTAATAACACAAGCCGTAGTGTTACAGGATATACTCCAACAGAACTAATGTTTGGCATTCGCGCGCAATCTTTAGGGATATCATTAATAGCCCAAAATTCAAACGAGCCGAGATTAGATTTAGACAATATCCGGAATAAAACTTCCCTCAACACTGAAAACGCAGATCAAAAGGAAATAGTTAAATTTAGTAAAGGCAAAGCCCAAGTAAAACCTTTTTTTTCTTTCTCGGGGAGATTACGTTTTTGTTAAGTGTAGCGAATGTTACCAAACTAAACTGCAAAGAAAGTTTAGGGGACCTTTTATCATAACTAAAATTCTAGACAACGATAGGTACGAACTGAAACATACCGATGAATCTAATTGCACTTTAAAATACTCTCATGAAAACTTGGGCGCAGTACCCAGAGGCTTTGAAGGGTTAGTTGACATATCCACTGAACTAAGTAATGAGGAGGCCGAGACGGCGGGTCATGGAGTGGAGAGAATGGAAACGAAGCTATGTCAGATGATGAAAGTGAGTAGCTGAGTAGCTCTGATGGCCTCCAACATTGATAAACCATAAATGAGTTGTGTAAGTTTGAGTTGGTGTGTTTGAGGTGGCGATGGAACTGGCTGATGCGGCCGATGTTTCTAGTAGTGATGGATCAAAGCGTGCAGGGGCTGGCTCGATGGAGTCCACGTCCGGTCGACGCTTGATCAGGTTGTGAAGATGGACGGGCTAGCTCTGTGGAGTCTATGTCCGGGTCATCGTTCACTCACATGAGTATAAGTAGTGGAGATGATGGGGCTAGCTCATTGGAGTCTCGATCATCGTTCATTCGTTTGGCTGAGTTGTTCTGGATGCTCTGCAGATTGTGGTCAGACGAATATTGTCGTCCAGGTCAGAGCCATTTAAGTTGGCTGACTTGTTCTGGTGAGACGAATATTGTCGTCCGAGTCAGAGCCATTTAAGTTGGCTGACTTGTTCTGGTAAGACGAATATTGTCGTCCGAGTCAGAGCCATTTAAGTTGGCTGACTTGTTCTGGTAAGACGAATGTAGTCGTCCGAGTCAGGAGCCATTTAAGTTGGCTGACTTGTTCTGGTAAGACGAATGTAGTCGTCCGAGTCAGGAGCCATTTAAGTTGGCTGACTTGTTCTGGTAAGACGAATGTAGTCGTCCGAGTCAGGAGCCATTTAAGTTGGCTGACTTGTTCTGGTAAGACGAACGTAGTCGTCCGAGTCAGGAGCCATTTAAGTTGGCTGACTTGTTCTGGTAAGACGAACGTAGTCGTCCGAGTCAGGAGCCATTTAAGTTGGCTGACTTGTTCTGGTAAGACGAACGTAGTCGTCCGAGTCAGGAGCCATTTAAGTTGGCTGACTTGTTCTGGTAAGACGAACGTAGTCGTCCGAGTCAGGAGCCATTTAAGTTGGCTGACTTGTTCTGGTAAGACGAATGTAGTCGTCCGAGTTAGAGCCATTTAAGTTGGCTGACTTGTTCTGGTAAGACGAACGTAGTCGTCCGAGTCAGAGCCCTTTAAGTTGGCTGACTTGTTCTGGATGCTTTGAACATTGTGGCAAGACGAATGTAGTCGTCCGGGTCAGAGCCCTTTAAGTTGGTTGACTTGTTCTGGATGCTTTGAACATTGTGGCAAGACGAATGTAGTCGTCCGGGTCAGAGCCCTTTAAGTTGGTTGACTTGTTCTGGATGCTTTGAACATTGTGGTGAGATGAATGTTGTCGTCTGGCTTAATTGCTACGAGATGCTCGCCTTAAGTCTTAAGTACCATAGCACATTTTGATGATTGTAACTAGTCGTTTGTCAGGATGCCGAACGGAATAGACACAACTGTAGTTCATTGATCCGAGAACCGCCCGAGGACGGTCGAATGTCAGTCCGGCCGTGACGGCGCATCCGTCAAAAATCATACGTCAGGTTGACTTTTAGCTGTCTGAGGTTAGCCTAGTGAAGCGTCATTGTGATGGTAGCGAGGGCGGCCATCTTTATTATGGAGTATCGTGCGAGATGACGCCCGCGCACCGCGCTCGTGACGAATCGCTGTGTATCGAAGTGATAGTGATATCTAGTGTTTCGATTGAGTTGGTGTCGTATTGAATAGACTGTACTTTATCCCTTTCAAAGTATGAGTTCCCATGAAGGCCCTCCTGTTCTTATAACGCCCTCTTACATATAGAAATCATGTTTTCTAACTTTATCTTTGTTTTCGTTAACAATGGTCATATAATCTATTATTTCGAGGACATTTAAAAAGTAAATTGAATTTTAATCGAATATGGTATTATTTACACAATTTTTGATAGTATTTACTAAACAGAAGTAGGACTGTTATTAAAAAAATTAAATTGCTTCTATTTCAGGTTTGCGGAGTAACTGCGAGAAAATATACATATTCGGAACTATATCGAAAATCTCAAACATTAGGGGCGAATTTAAGGAAAAACTTTGGGATTAAAAACGGCGATCTTGTAGCTGTTATGTTGCCTAATATGCCAGAATATCCTATGATAACTTTGGGAATATTGAGCGCAGGAGGCATTGTAACTACTCTGAACCCAATTTATACTTCATGTAAGTTTTGGAATCGTAGAATATTTTTTAGAAACAAAATTAAAATTCAGTTTTTTATAAGACGGGAAGAATTATTAGTTTAGTTGTTAATTTTTGACTCTTCTAATTTATTTTAAATTACAAAAAAATATATATCAACCAAGCGAATAATAAAAAATTGTAGCACACATATACTAAATGTTGGATTTAATTAATATTTATTATGTTTCAGATGAAGTGCAAAGACAATTCATTAGTGCGCATGTTAAGGTGGTAATAACTTCACCAGAGAATGTATCAACTATAAAACAAGCATTGGACTTAAACAAAATGAGTGCACCTATAATTGTAGTTGACTTTAGTAACCAACGTCCCGATGGAACGATATCGTTTAAAGAAATAATAAACGATACTATTGACACAAGTATTTTAAAAGAAGTCAAAACCAAACCTAGTGATGTATCATTGCTATTGTATTCAAGTGGAACAACGGGACTGCCGAAAGGTGTTGAATTAACTCATAGAAATATAGTTGCCAATGCTGTACAACAGGATCCAGCTGAAATAAGACATTACGATCCAACAACAGGTTTATCGAATAAATTCATATTTTCTTTATAGCATTTATATATTCTGCTTTTATTTATCATATCAATTGTCTCCTATTAATTATTGGTACATTTTCTTGGTGTGTATAATTAGGATATATAAATATTTATGTGATTTATTTAACTTCTTGTTTTGATAAATTTTTGATATCTATGTTGTAATTTTATATCTTTATTGTGACTATCACTAAATAGTTTACAGTATTATTATAATATTAATCAGTAAAATTTATGACAGTCATGTTTTTTAGAATCAAATCAAGATACTATTTTGTCGTATCTTCCCATGTACCACAGCTATGGGATGACTGTAATGATGTTACACAAGCTTGCGAATGGCTTGAAGCTTGTAACTTTACCAAAATTCCAACCAGAAACATTTATTAAGGTTTTGGAAAATCATAAGATAAATTTAATATATCTTGTTCCACCTACTGGTACGTCTAACATAAAAAATATTTACATTGAAAATCATAATATTTTACGCTTTATCCATGTTTGGTAAAAATAGATGATGAAGCATTTATTTTTTATTATATATTTTTTTGAATATCATTAAATTCTATTTTTCAGTTTTATTTTTGGGATCAAATCCTCAGGTGAAAACAAAACATTTTGAATATTTAAAATATGCAGGCTCTGGTGCAGCGCCATCGCCAAAAGCAGATGTAGAAAGGTTGTTGGCGAAATTCGGTGTAAGTAATATTTTATTTCTTTTTAAACCGCCTACTTTACATTGTGTTAAAATATGTGTATTAATGCAAAAGTAAAGGCGCTATACGCTTCAGTTTGTAAGCATATATTTATTAATTTATCGTAATTTTTCCATTTCTAGCGTAAAGTACGTTTCAGTCAACTGTATGGCTTAACGGAAGTCTCTCCACTGGCTACAATAACTCCTGTTAACTACAACAAATTTTCGGCTGTGGGTTTTCCTTTGCCTAACATCCAATTCAGGATTGTTGACGAAAATGACAACAATTTAGGGCCAGGAGAGGTTAGTTTATTCTATAAATGTCTTTATTTATTAATTGATATTATAAAAGGTAATAATTAGTGAAGTAAATTACATATTCCTTAAAGGTTTTTTGCCTTCCAGTATTGTACTCTTTGAAGAATTTAGCATTATTAATCTCTATAATATTTATTTTCATCAAGAAAAACTTTGATTTATACTTTTCCTGTTTGTAATATGGTAATAATATATGTATTATATTTCTATACTCTATTTATAATAAACATTAGAACGTTAAATATTTTATTAATATCAATAACGGTTTAATTAAATGCAGTATTAGATTTTTCTTAAAATATGTACAAAACCTTGTTGAGTATTAAATGTCACGTTTATAAAAATGACCTTGCTTTATTAATAAATGTTCTATCAGATTATACAAGAGTGTTGACATTAAATAAAGAGTAATAACTTAATAGCGAGTGTAATGTAAATTTTCTTTCAGTTAGGAGAGTTGCTTATTAAAGGACCAAACGTAATGAAAGGCTATAGGAACAATCCAGAAGCTAACAAAGATGTTTTCACTAATGGCTGGTTCCGAACTGGAGACCGAGCGCAATTCGAAGAAGATGGATCTCTTGTTATTGCGGATAGATATAAAGAACTTATAAAGGTAGCAAAAATAATATAACATTTTGGAATAAAGGAACTTTAAAAGTGACCTTACATATATTTTTTTTGTAGGTAAACGCTTATCAAGTAGCACCAGCAGAGTTAGAAAGCGTTATAAAGGATCATCCTGATGTCTTTGATGTAGCTGTAGTCGGTGTACCTGATAGTAAAACAGGAGAGAAACCCAAAGCTTTTGTTGTTCTTAACAAAAATAGTCCAGCAAATGAAGCGGATATCATAGAGTTTGCTAATAAGAAGGTCGCACCGTATAAACATATTAAAGAGGTCGAATTCATTGAGAGTATACCAAAAAACCCATCTGGTAAAATGTTGAGAAGGTTACTTGTTGAAAAAGATATTAATAATAGTAAAGTTAACTTCATAAAAAAATAATTTGAGTCTCTGAGAATTCGTATGTTCGTAATTTTATACTTATTTACATTTATAATTATTGCCTCTTTACCTTCAAATATACTATTAAACTTTATAGTAGTTAAAAGTACATTTTTTTAAAATAAAGTTGCTATTTTAACCTACGGGAAGTTGTGATATGTTTTCAGACTCTATAGAACTGAGGATTGAAATGTAATTATGAAAGGTTAAGGAATATTTAATAAATTATTTATCACATATTTAACTAAGTCATTTATTCTATCTTCACAAAATACTTGATACACATTATCTTATATAATTATAAACTAGTATGAGATTGGAGCCCGTGATGGGTATAAGAATACCTGTATTACAGTTCTCCAGGTCCCCACACCGCCATATTAACGAAGTGAGCTCTTTACATTAAACTGTTGTATATGTATGTTGGAGAGATTTTTTCAGTGTGTTAGAGTGTATATGTGCGTGTGTCTGCGTGTGTGTGTATGTGAGTGCTATGTGTATTAATGTGAGTGCCTACTTGTAATAAGTGATGCAATTAGAGTGATAATCCATCACTATTGAAGAATAGGGTTATAAATCGAAAATTAAGAGTTTTTCGGTATCTTCATAGTCCAATGTTTTTAACCATTCATCTACTTTGTTTTTGCAAGTCGATTTATTTAATGAATATATTCGTAAATATTTATTTAACTTGTTATAAAGAACACTACCCAGAAAGCAATAAAATCTATTGGAAAGTCTTTAAGTGGAAGGTTTCAGTGCGACAGACATTGCCTTTCCTACGTTTATCCTTTTCTAATATTCGTTGATAAACTGTTTGTGAGTGTTTTTTAAGAATTATGTTCAGTAAAAAAGTTTGTCTAATAGTCAAAATGTCCCAGGTTTTATATAAAGTTTTTGTTGTTAGAAGAAATGGAAGTCCAGCAGCAACCTTTAAAAGACATCTTTGCGCTCTTTCTGCCTCAATAAGGTGACTTTTTGCTGCGCCACCCCAAGATGTAATGCTGTAGCTTATTAATGAATGGGCGACGGTATAATACACAGTTTTGATTATACGTCGATTTGCAACTTGCTTTAAATATTTGAAAATATATATATATACTAAGGAACTTTATTTCTGTACATAAAATGATATTTCTTATTTTTTGTACTATATTCAAGTTTTAAATTTACTTGTAATTTTCACAGTTCTTGTACTTCTTCAAGCTACTTATCTTATCCTAACATGCCAAGTTTGGTTCTCACCAAAAATATTTATCGTGGTACATTTTTATGAAAAAGAGTTTCCTTGACAAATTATTGCTACATAACATTTCCTACTTCATGTCATTGATTATTATATAAGGAAAATTCTTGAAACAATTAGTGATCACATCTTTGGGTAAATATTATATTGTTAAGAATATGAGAGTAAAAATATAAAAGTAATAGGAATATAGGGGTGAATAAAAAAATATATTTTAAGGTGCTGAGGTACCTAGTTTTTGGTATCGAAACGCCTTTGATACCAAAAGAGCAATTGGTCTGAAATGGTACATAGATTCATCTCAGGAGACGTTAAGTTGAACTTTATTCGGTTGAACTAAATAAATAATCGATCTTAATTGACTGATTGTTTGAATTTTAATAACATACCATCAGTTTCAATTGGACATTTAGTGATAATACGTGCGTTGAGAAATCTTTATAAACGTCAATCCTTCTTAACTTAAACATTGGAAATATCTTCTATAATAATCAAAAGAATCTGAACAAAATATTATATTTTTCTGAATCCAGTTTACTCTACTTGTAGGTATGAATATGTTATATAAAAGTACATATATACATATGTTATAGCATTTCAATAACTTAAATGTTTGAAATTCAACTCAGCGGTCTACAGTTATGTGATTTGCATAATATGAAGTTTGAAAGAAAACTGTTCCTTTATTTAAAATTTTACTTAAAAATATGCCTTACCTCTTTTATAAAGCGGTTTGATCATAATCATATTCTTTTTTGTTTGTGATGAAGTGTAGGTAATCAAGTTTTGTAATTTAAAGATACTAGGTATGTATAGTTTATCTTTACTGATATACTTTTATCAACTTATCCTGCTTTGAACACATGTATGGATACTGAGCCTTTAAATGTCGATTTAAACGAAAGAAGTAATTAATAAAAATCGAGCAACACTTTTGTGATATATCTCTAAAATGTTATTTAAGAGGAACAAGGGGGATACAAAATAGTATTAAAAAATTGCTTTCAAATACATTTGCTTACTATTTCTTACAGGGTTCTACTGTTGGAAAATATTTTTTCATATATTCTTTTATATTTTACAATTATCCAGCACACATAATTTGTCAATATATGTACTAAAATGTATCAATTGATATGATTACATAATTTTTTGACAATGCTTAAACTTGTTTCTACACTTTATTCTTACGGGATGTATTAAAAAATATGTTTTTTTGAATGCCGAACATATGTATTTTAAATAAAAAATACATTTATCAATTCTTTCCTATCAGAAATTGTAATCGAGTTGTTCTAAAAACAACCCGTTTTAAAGAAATTGGTAAAAGTACTAATAATTTTAGAGGTAATAAGCTAATAATCTACATATTTGCAACTCCAAATATTTTTGGTAAAGAACATTTGGAGAAAATTGTACAATGATATTCCATAGAGTAGAATCATAAATATTATTTTCATTCATCCCTTTTATGACTCTGAAATTAGATGAAGATGAGGGACTTTATGTTTTTTTGTTTTATACAAAAAAAAATATCACCTGTAGATATTTTCCCTATATCTGATGAGAGTGGTTTAACAGAAATTGAACCATTAGCCACATTATGGTCTCTATAGTTCTAATCTACTTGATTATTGATGAAAACCTAAACCAATAAGTCCAAATCAAACAAAAATATATATTTTTGTTCTTATAACAATAAGGAAGTTAAATTTTTACATGAAATACTATTTGTGAAGATTAAACTTATGTAGTATTATTTTCGATATTATCTTCGAGTTTATATGTAGACGTTAATATTTCATGCAAATACAAATAAATCTTGGTTACCGAGTGTCCGGCCAACGATCTGGTGAATAGCTGATGTCATGATGAATTTATAACTTTACTACAACTTTGCTACATTTTTCTATTCTAATATATAATTTTATATTCAAACAGAAATTCGTTTTGTAGTTTTACTCAATTAGATTAAATAAAATATAACATTTGAAACTGGTAAGTTAAAAACATTTTATTGGAAATTTAATAAAAATAAAAGTATATAAGTAAGTTTATATATACATACATACTTTTATTTCAAATAAATCTTAATTAACTCAAGTGTAATGCATTAAGAAATACAAAAACAAATAAATAAATGTTTTTAGATTTTTTTTTTGAAAGGCTTGATCACAAATTCTGACAGAGAATAGCTGGTGAATGTATTTTCTAATTTAAAATATGTTCGGCTTATGAAAAAGCATTATTTTATTTCGGTAATCACATTTAGAGTTTCTTCAGCTGACCTTGAAGGGCTGAAGATAGAATATTCTTCACTTTTTTATGTTACTGTAATCGGTATATTTGACAGTTAAATAGTGGAAAACAAGAAACTTTTTCCACTTTTAAACCAGATATTTGAAATAATACAAATAAAGCTTATACGTATTAGACTAAGAAAAGCTCCCACTTACAAACCCATTTTTCAAAATGAAATAAATATTTGACAATATTTTTGCAACATATGATAAAAGTAATTAATTATTATCAATGAAGTCACATTAATAATAATAATATGTTTATTTTGTAATAAAAAAACATACAAGGTACTAAACTTCTTACATAATGAGATATACATATATAAAAGACTTTCACGAATTTTCATTAAAAACTATTATTTTCTTATTTACTAAGTTAATATTTTTTTTACTACTCCTGACGTTTCGGATACCATTGCAGCAACCGTGATCACGGGCAAATGGGAATATTACAAGTCAAAATAAATATTAAAATGCGTAGTAAATCCGATAATATTTGTTTAATTTCATTTTTAACTCCTTGCGTTATATTTTTTCGACGCAATAATAGAGGAATCATCTAATAAAATATTTTTAAGTAGGTATAGATTAAGATTACAGGAAATTTTTACTTATTTTTATTGACTCTTTTGTACTTGTATATTATAAAGTAGTTCAATGAACTTAAGCCAATATCTTGTAGACAATTTTACTAACATTGATTGCCTATTTATTTACCATCTATATATTATTATAAAAACATGTTTAAAAATCTTTCTTATAAAATTTTGTTACTTAAGTTTGTTATGAATACACATAGTCACACATAAATCTCTCGTCTCTTAAAACTAAATTTTATGTTGGTACATAAATACGTGAAAGGAATTCGTTTATAATAAATAAAATGTCGTAGCAGGTATAAAAAGAAACCACAATAATCTGCATAGGCGCCACCGTGTTTATTTTACGAGGTTTTCCCTAACTTAGGCGACATAAATTTTAATTCCAAATAGCAAACGAATTCCTTACCATTATAACGTCATTAAGTCTAAACTTTTGAAATTTATGATATAGTCTTTTATCACTTCTTTGGATGACGAAGTATAAAAAACAGTAAAAAAATATAATAAAATGTTTAGTCAACAGTCGTAACCTGTACATACCAGTATGAAGTATTGAAACGAGTTTTTGATGTACGAATGTAGGTGTTTCTTGTTAGAAACATAACAAAAAATATTCAATTACTTAAGGGAATAACATCCTTAAAGAAAACATTAGTCAGCACTTTATTTTTTAGATATAATGAACGTCTTTTAAAGAATTAAAGTACATACTTTAATCAAATTTTATTGTTAGGTGATAGCTTATTCTTGATTCGTTCAATACATTCGTACAATTCGTCATCTGAGAATTTGGTCAAGATGAAACAATTTATAAAAATAGTTATATTTAATTTGAATCTTATAAATCTGAGGATATTGCATTTTTTAATTAAGTTTACTTAAAAGGATAAATGCGATTGATTAGCAATAATAAATTGCAATAATTACTTTGTACAAATGCATCATTGCAAAATTTTTGTAAACATAATTTATTTTTTGTTAACACATTCCATTTAAACATTGTAGGTAACAAACTTCATAACATCTCAGGTCCTTGTTCTTTCAACCCGAAGTTTGTACGTTTTATATTTTTTAAGAACATTTTTTAATATGTTTGATGGTATTCAGCTTGATAATTTAAATGTAAGGAATGAAATTATTTGACATATGTATATTAAAAATTCCTTTTTAATTTTAAACATATCAAATAAATATACATGTTTCTCTTATTTGGAATGAGATTCATCATTTTAACTTTCTCATTTATAAATAATTTATTATATATTTAACATATAGATACAATAAATTCCTAATTTATATAACATTATATAAAAGATAAATAATAATTTAATAGTATTCCATTATGTTTTTTTTTCGCAAAATTATACAATTTTAATTGAGATAACCCTACCTTTAAAATTATTAAAATTTATCTCGTTTCTTACAACTCAATTCAAATATTATTTCCTTTGCCTTAATTGCAACATATGCAAACACTAACAAACTGATGCCGCTTCAACTAATTTAAGCATCACAATTCTTTTGTAAAACAATTTTAAACACCCAAATAATTTTAAGCCAAATGTTTAAAAACCATTGCAAAAAATCAATCAATGAAGAATATTTTCTAAGTTAATAAATTTGTTTTCTGGGTCCCTACACGGATCTTCGTAACTGTAGTAATAATAAAAATTACGTTTGTGTTTATATTTATTATGTTTACATTTATATATGAATCATGAGTATTTCCCGCGAATACATTCCAAAGCTCAGCGTCCTTCAGAAGGCTGCTCATACACGGAACGTTATATCGTACTGTAACTACATATATTAATAAATAATACCATAGACAATCGAAAAACAATATATTAATTTCATTTAACTGGATTAATTTCGGTACTTTTGTAATTTAGTTAACCGATTTGGTCGTGAATTGTGAAGTGAAGTAAGAACTAGTTTTATGTCTTAATATGTTAATTTATGTTTCAATAAGATATTTTATTTATGTTAATTAAAAGCAATACTTAATGATGTCGTTAATAGTTTTAAAAATCATAAATATCAGGTTTGACTGACTTCTACACCGGTTATAATACAATGGTTTCGATGTAAAATAATGAATTAATAATCATTTCCCTATTTCTAATTTAATAAATTAGTATAGAAAATAATTTATTCTACAACTCTTTCACATTTTATAATTAAAGTTTTTTTAATTTTTGTAATCACATTTCATTCATTTATGTTATAACAAAATACAGAAATGAATATTTACATTATTTCTTATAAACAAGGTAGATAATACATAGATTGTAATATATATAGAACAAAAAAAATACATTTAATTCTTTTTAATATATTAAAAACAATATATATTATTAATACGTTTTAATTATTAGCAGTTGATTATGTTACACGAGAATATCAAATGATATTATGCATATAAAATCGTAAGTGTGTAGGAAATCTGGTGTGAATAAAAACAAGGGTCACATAAGCTAGTGGCCAGTCTTGTCTGTTGTATCTTAAGAGAAGGATCTTGTTTAAATAAATATGGTGTCGCGTATTGTGGTTCTTTGTATGGTAGTGGGATTGGCGTGTGGCGCCACATGGATATCACAGCAACCTGTCAAACCGCCAGAGCATGGTGAGTATTGAGTGGTTGCTTAATCCCTAATAATATATTTTATTGTAACTATATATATTTAGACTTGACTGGTATTCGATAATAACATATTTTAAACTAATCTTTAATGTCAAATGAAAGGTCATTTAACACTATTTATCTAATAATCGAACCCTTGAACTGTATGTACGATTGACGTTGCAACATCGTCTTATTGACAGTGATAAATTTCATATTATCATAAAGACATGTTTGTATGGAATAAATTAGTAAATAAATTATATTTTACATAATGTATTTTTCTGCTCTACATTAGCTTAAAAAACTGTTTGTTATTTGTGTAATATACACTACTGAAAAAATGTTAGTCACCAGTATTTAAAATTTTGAGCAAAGAATGATTTATTAGTAACAATTCAGGAATTGTATATATTATTTATTACATGCTTATCCTGAATCATAAAGAATAATTTTATAGTCACGTTAGTGGAGTAGGCTTCTAATAAAACAAATGGCCTTCAAAAGGTTGACTACTTCCCAGAATATCTTGATTGGATATTGTACACGTATAGCGTCTCGGAACCATAATTAGTCTAATAACAAAAAAAGTATTTCATATCTAATACTATTTACCCATTATGAATTCAGGCAGGAAGTCGAAAAATATATAGAATTTTAGCAATATTTCACTTATAAGGTATTTTATTGCAGTTCTTATAAGGAAAATATTGTGCTCTTTCAATCAAAGGTCGAACGACTTTACAAAAACGATATTTGGCGAAATGAATCGTTTTGTAAATAAATATAGGCGTGAAATTACTTTTGATTGCAATGATTTGTTAACAGCATCGCCATTACAGTTAAAGATGCACTTAATAAGATTTATTATACAACAAGGACAATTAACATTTTCACAATATCTTTAACGAGAATCGAAAAGATCTAAATGAAAATGAATAATAAATAATTTAGCAAAGAATTTAGTTACTTAGAAAATTGCACTAAGTTTGAACAGTACATAACGGTGCTCAGCCTTTTCAAATCATTGTATCTATAAATATATTAGTTTCATAAGAAAATCATAAAAATTGTTGTCAAGTTTCTTGTTAAACAGTCCATTTATCCAATTTCATAAGTTGCCGCGCATCATAGTAGCAGAATTAATGCGATGATTAGATATATTCTATTTTTGTGGCCTTTGACTTATTGACAATCTTTATTCTTATTAATTATTATTATCCATAATAAATCTAATTAATGCTTTTCATTATTGCTTAGATATCAGCATCGTTCTATTATCCGCATAGCTTTATCTTTGTCACAAACAACCCACGTGTAGACTATAAATGTCATCAAATATTCATAAAATCAAAACAACCAGATGATTGGCGCCACGAATGTTTTTTATAACAATTATACTGAAACATAAATACAATAAGCGTTCCGACACCAAAAAAATATCTTAAATTTTGTTCGATTTAAAGCTTTATTTGCATATTAACAAGACGAATTATTAGAAGGACTGCAAAAACACGGCAAATGTTTATATTTTGTGTGGCGCCAGACGTGACAGTTATTTCTGTATTCGTTTTTTATTGTTATTTTTTTTATCGACTGAATGAAATGTTCCTAGATGTTATGTTTTTTTCTTCGCAAAATTGGCTTTTATTAGAAAACATTAGATATCCGGAACTGATACTTTGTAAGAATTAATGTATGCAAACATTTTTGTCTGTTCAAAATTCCTTTATTGACTTTGTAAAAGAATATTAAATCCTGCCCTCCGGGGTCAAGGCACTCGTCTGTAAACACAACGAGGTCGTATTGTGTATATTGTATAGTTGTAAAGAATTTATATGTTACGATAGTTTTTATTATTAGGAATCTAACTTGTAAAACTTTTGGAAACAAAAAAATAGTGGGTTCAGATTTTAAATTTATAAGAGGAAACAATTTAGAAAGCGACATTGTTTTCTCAAGAGAAAGTGAATACTATAAAGAAAATAACGTTTTTTTATATGTATCAATGACATTACACGCGGTTTTACGTCGTTTATAAAAATAGGGACAGAAATACAAACATTTGAGTTCACAATAAGCTGACATCCGTAAATCATCTCTCAGTTTGCCTAAAGAATTAAATAACCAAAAAATCAAATAATGAAACATTTAAATGTCACATCCTTGTATAGAAGCAAGGCCGTTGCAGTTTGAGTTCATCATAAGAGAGCTATTATGTGAATATTGATTTGTGTTCAGTATCGTGGGCGTCTGGAATGTTATTGTGAGTTTTGAGACTTGTATTTTTTTTATGAATATTTTTTGTACATTGTATATCTCACTTACCTAAAACCATTAAGGTTAATGGCTCTTGAAAAGTATAATTGAATATATAGTAATAATGGATGGAACACAAATTACATTGAAATCCATACAAAATTATGTTTAGTTCGTACTTTTATTAGAATTAAATGAAATTGGGGCTCACTTATGTTTATTAAAAGGGTTAGGAGGATGCCGTTGAAATGGTACATTGTAGATAGTATTTGTTTTAGGCTATGAGAAAACCCGTTGTATTAATTTTATTTGTGTGTTTATTAATATGTTTATCGTTCCATCTAATCTAATCTATCTTATCTAATCTAGAAGTAAAAGAAAAGTAATCTAATGATTTATGATATCTTTTTTGTTCTAGCCCACAAAGAGGGATGTTACATAGAAGAAATCGATGATGTTATACCATATGGTCAGGATGTTTCTCCCATTGGCGTGTGCTATCGGATAGAATGCTCAGGCTATCAACTCAGCTACGCTTCGTAAGTATTTATTACCTATTTGTTATAAAAAAGGAATATATTATATAACAAGTATGTATTTTTTTATCAATTAAATTATTAGTGATTTGGTTTTATTAAATATATCTATGTGTATATTTAAATACGGGTTTATTAATTGATAAAAAATGTATACATTTGATAAGAAAAGTAAGCAAAATGCAAATGGCAATTGGACACAATCGGTACATTTTGAAGCGTTGCGAATTGTGACATAGAATACATAAAATAAAATAGAAAGACAGTAAGATATGAAACATATGAAAGTCTTTACAATTTAACCATTTAGTCACAATCTGCATAAACAAATACATAAAAACTATTTTAATGTGAACAAAAATCTAGACAGCATTTAGCCGTTTAAATTTGATATATTATCTAGAATAGAATGCGTGAAATCTATTATTAAACTTAAAGATTAAAGCAATGTTATTATAGCTGTTGAAATATAGTTAAAAAAATTGAAAAAATTGCATTCAATCGATGAATTAAGCGGTCCATTTATCATTTGTTTTAGTATAGTTACAGTAACAATATTTGTTTTATTATGTAATATTATTACTTGTAATGATATTCTATTTGTACTACATATTAAATTATCAATTTGATTTTCAGATGTGGTGTTGTTCTCACAGAAGATCCAAATTGTTACAAAACTGAAACAGATCTTAAAAGACCCTACCCAGAGTGTTGCCCGGATATCAAATGTGAAGTTGAAAATAAAATATAGTATTTAGTAGACTGACTGTAACTTAATTGTAGTCAGTGTTGACATGTAGATGAAGATAACATAAGCTTAAATAGTGTTAGTACAAAAAAAAAACAGAGAAAGAACAATGTATATTTTTAATTTAAATATTATTACTCAGTCATTACACATATTACAATTTTTTCGTTAACGTATCAATATTTTTTTTAATAAACAATTTATTTATTCATATGTTTAGCCCGTCTATATATTTTTTTTATGTTATACATTATCGAATGTGTCAACATTGTATGGATAGAGTTCCTTGTAAAAGAGTCATAGATAAATTGTAGTTAGTCGCCGACTCGAGAAGCTATCTTGCCGCCAAATTGTTATTATTTATTTAATTAAATTAGTTGTTCAAATTTTATTTTGTTGTTTCATTGGAAGTACCTATTTTTAATACCTTATTATGATTATTATATTACGCTTTTTAATGGAACGCTTCATCTCCTATTAAATTATTATACTGAATAAAAATATATATTTCTTTTTGTATAGCAATAAAAATTCTCACAACAAGCTAGTAGGGAAATTACTTGGCTTTGGTAAAAAATATAGCAGCAAAAGTTTCTGTTTTTATTTTTGTGCCCCTGGTATTAGATATACATTTACAGGCAACTGTTAGACATACATTTACAGACAACTGCATTAAGTCAGTAGTGGCCTAGTTAGTTAAAAGGCCCGCCTCTCGATGTCGATGTCAGGCAGGCGCTCGGTCGTAAAAACAATTAGCCAAAAATATTTACAACATGTAAAGCAGACCCTGGCTAAAGCTGGGAAATTGTCAGAAAGAAGAATATTACAGACAACTGCATTACTCAGAATTTGATTTCTGTGCATTTTTTTTGATAAGTTAAATTGAGTTAATGTAAATACAGTATGTATACAGTGTACATAATTAAAATTTCTTTCTAGATTTTTCTCTTACCATTGAGATAAGAGGGAACATTACATTGTATTACAATTTTTTTTTCTTTGAAGATGACTTAACTTTGATGACGAAATTAGTTATATATTTAATTTAAAATTTCACTTGTAATGGCATTCTCAATACTATATTAAGATAACCAAAATAAGATGTCCAAAGCTGTATAGATGATATTAAATGTAATATAGAATTCTAACATAATAATTAGGACCAAAATTATAAAGACCAAAGAGAAATATAAAAACTATGAGATATTCATAATATGTATAATGGCTGGGTACATAGCGCGAAGGACTTTCATTAATGAAACTAATTTGCAATTATAATTTGTTATAGTGTAAAAAAACTGTATTATTAAGGTTATTATAAGCGTTGCAGAATTTATTAATTCGGATAATATTTATACATTTTTTTAGTATAATAATTGTTTATTCTCTTGTTATTAGTAATAATAATCATTGTCTTCAACTTCGTTGTCACATTCAATTGAATCACAGCATTTTGGATAAGGCAAGGTTCTATTGCCAGCAACCACTTCACACCCTTCCCCGGCGGCTAAGCTTCCACAACTGTAAAATAAAATGATATCGTTAGTATAAAATTTAAAGTTATTCTATTGAGTGGGTTTTAAGAGTTATATGTAAATTGATCCATCCATTTTAGAAATAAATAAAAAAGCAAACAGTCATTTACCTCTCACAATCGAATTTATATTAAGTCAACAATAAGGATGACTAAATCTTTAAGAAGTAAAATGTCGTAGTGAGTTTTACGTCACTATTAATTCTATTGCGTCTCCAAATGAGCGTTTAAGTTGTGAAACAGAATTGATGTGTTGCGAGTGGAAATACTTTAATAAGAATGAAAAAAATAATTAATTAACCCAAACTCACGTAAAAAGATAGGTGTCTCCACTCTCCTTGCAAAGGTATTCCACACAACTAACGCCATCTTGTGGTGAATATGGTACGTCCACATGTAATAAACGTTTTAGAGAAGAAAGGTAACAGCCTTTATCATCCTCTGTAATTAGAAAATTGTATATATTTATAACACACTTCTACTTATATTATTTATAATGATTTGAGTTTGAAGTTTAACAATAATCCAGGAGTCGAAAAGAATTGAGCGAATCGTCTTTGTAAAAATATGGAGTATTAAAAATCAAGATATATATAAATATATGCATACTTATTAAAGTTATAAGTACGCAAATAACTATTTTACTGAGGACATCTACATAGTGTCATAATATTTGAGGTTAATTAAAAACCAAGGTATACATCAAGGATTATCTGATATAAAACTTACTTAAGCCTTCGGGTTTCTCTTCAGGTGGATATATGGCTACAGCAGCGTTACTATTTTTATAAATTATGAGTATGTAAAAAATTAAAAATTTCAATATAATGTAACTCATATCTGCTTATGTCGCGATATTGTTCAAAACTAAAATGTTAATAAAACGTACACCTTTTATATAACAAATAGTGTTCAGTTGTTTTATGTCAAAGCAAATAAAACATTTAATTAATCTGTCCATTCATTCTATTGTGTTAAATATTTTCAGTCAGTCGATCGCAGTTTCTCTGTGTGGATTTATAAATATGTACATTAAAACCACATGTTGGTTCATATATGTACATATACTTGTAAAATGTGCTAAGATTTGTCCTCGAAAATTGGGTAAAATAAAAGCAATGAAAATTTTTTTTAAGTGAAAACGACTTATAGAATTCAAAATATTAAGACGACATTGCAGGTTAGCTATAATTATTTTTGTAAGAAACAATAAGTTTTGGAGTTTTATTTTATATAACATTTTATTATGATTAAGTAAAGGTTATATTAATTTACTTATACTTTACTCGGTACATATGTGATTTTAGCGTCCAGTTTACAATAATACAAGTTTTATTAATGCATGCATGTATGCAATAGAATCTCAAAATAATCGTTAACTATGTATATAGAATTTGAAAACAAAAAAAGTTCAATATGTATGTATTGGAACGAATACTTTTTACTTACGTAATTAAAAATAATGGATGGGTAAAATTAACATCTAACCATCCGTATATATCCTAGTTCTGTCAAAAGCCGTTAAATAATAACAATATTATACAAAAAGTGACGCAAAATTGAAAATTAAACGAGATTTTATCAATTCGTTCATACATTTATTTATTACAACTATAATATATTACATTCGTTAACGTTGTTGTAAAATACTACAAAGAAAAAATTATTTACACGTTATAATTATAAAATTATGTACACATAATAAAAACTACGCGTGACTTAACACCTGAACTAACACATCCAAAGATATTTTATATCGTATTATTTATGTATGTTTCAAGTTTTTAAAGGCTGGTGTTGTGGCCAAAGTGACGGTATATAAGTCTTTAATACTGAACCTAAAATACTATCTTAAAATATGAGGAGTGTTAATAAATTCAGATTGTTACTCGTGTGCATTTTTGTTAAGTTTCTTACAAGACACGCAGCTAGCAGATGAAATCTAGACGCCATATAAATATTTGGATAAGCAAGAAAAATCCGCATTTTGTTAATTACACTTAAAATACTAAGAGAAGCTTATGTGTATAATTGAGATTTTGAAATATTTCTTTTAAGTTACGAACTTTGAATTAAGAATATTTGTGTAGGATTACCCAACATGTAAGGTAGTTTATAAATATCTGACAGCAATACAAATTATCTGGCTCTGTAGTGGTAGTACTCGTACATCTCTAATCCATAAATATTGTTTTATTATTTTTTGCTATATAGGTAATACCCAACAAGAGTTGTAGCTTTTGTTAGAAAGCAGTTTCGTAAAAAGTTAATAATTTTTAAAAATATCTATTAAAGATCTTTTTCTTCTTCTATCTGGCAATTTCCCAGCTTTAGCCAGGGTCTGCCTTACATGCTGTGAATAGTTTTGACTAATTGTTTTTACGACCGGCCGCCTGCCTGACACCAACCCTCTTTGGGAATGCATTAATCAGTGATGTCTAAATACTTTTAGAAAGTACATATGACTCGGAAAAATCACATTGGTACTTTTAAAATTTCTATTAGGTAAAGATATTGTAAATTTTTTACTTCAATGAGATATTTAATGTGGTTTTGCGTATAGGATTGACAAATGAAAATATTTCTTATGAAAAGTCTCTTTGTTAAAAACTCTATTTTGTCACGATATTATATTTTTTAAATTTTGATTAAAGTAGTTTTGACTATTCAGGTCTTGCTTATGGAGGTGAATTTCTGAACGTGATGTCGAGTGACTTCAACTGTTGAATTAAAACAAAACTTTGCAAACTTGTCGAAGAGCATTGGCAAGGCAATTACATTAACGATTTGACCCATTATCTTGATCAAGATCTTGAAATTCAGAGATTTTTCAAATCCGACACCCGGTACTTTCTTTAATTACGGACGAATTCTCAGAAAAACTTTTCAATCTGTTTTCACAAATAAAACACGAAAAAATTGATTACAAATCTTTTATTCTAATGATTTTTATATATTAGTAAAGTTATTGACAGAAAAGAAATTTACTGTAGCGAAGACTTCATGTAAATTCTTATAAAATTTTCATAGATACGAGTATTGTTGAAATTCTAAATATTATTATAACATCTTTTAAAACACTCATATTTCTCAAGGCAAGAATTGTTCTTCTTAATCTTATTTTTTTATGATTTATATTAAAAAAGATAACCACAGTTTTTATCTAGAATACAATTTTTTTAATTTTTTTCCAATGCAATACACATAAATGACTGCAAAAGTAAAATCGACTGCAACGCGATATGTTGAGTGATAGGCAATGCAAGGCAATAATTTGAATAATTATTACTTCAAATACTAAAAAATTTAAATAATAATAATTATTACTTCAAATATTGCATAATATAAAAATACTTTGTTTGTATTAAAATATAACTAATAAATGGCGCTAATAAAAATCAAGCTAGGTTTGGGTTTTTAAATACAATTTTATTACAATCTATTGTATAAACATACAACAGTTACTGTT